AAAATACATAAAAACAAATCACTTCCCTTGGGAAGCTTATGGTCTAGAGGCAATGTTGACAATAAAGAGCATAAATAGGATTTCCCATGTGGTCCAGTGGCCAAGACTCTATACTCCCAATGCAGGGGGCTGGGGTTTGATGCTTGGTCAGGGAACTAGATACCACAATGAAGATTGAAGAGCCCACATTATACACCTAAAACCTGGCACAGTCAAATAAACAAGTAACTTTTTAAAAGGACATAAATAAGCAACATATGTAGCATGGGCATAATGATAAGTGTCAAGAAGAAAATCAGAGAAAAGGAGAAAATCGGAGAAAAGAAGGAGAAATGGAAATGTGTGTAGGCGGTGTAGGCAGGGTTGCAGATTTAGGTATAGCATGAGAAATTCTGAAAAGACCTAAGGAAACAGACTTAAAGGAAACAGGGAGTTAGCTATGTGAATATCTGGAAGAAGAAATTCTGGAGAGAAAAGACTAACGTACAAAGGTCTTGAAATGGGAACATGCCTTGTGGGCTGAGATCCATCAGTGAACCAGTGTGGCTGGAATGAATTCCAAGAGGGTGAGGGTAGTGTGATGGTTAGTTTTCTAGGTCAACATGGTTAGACTACAGTTCCATTATTCAATCAAACGTTAATCTAGGTGTTGCCGTGAAGGTATTTTGTAGATGTGGTTAACATCTACAATCAGTAGTCTTTAAGCAAAAGGAAACTGTTCTTGATAATGTGGATGGGCTTCACCACATCTGTTACAAGACTTTGAAAGCAAAACTAGCTTTCTCTGCGCTGTAGACTGTACGTGTTCCTCTGAGGTTCACAAGTTGCGATCTAATTTCCAATGTAATGGTATTTGGAAGTGGGGTGTTTATCTCAAAGTCCAGCAATAAGGCCAGGGACAAATCATGGGATCGAAACTATTTAAAATGTAACTAATATTAATTAATCAATTCACAAATCACTCAAGTGTTGCACACAATAGTGAAACAGGAAACTGAGTTCTGCTCATGGAGCTGAGGAATGAACTTTAAAAACTTGCATACACTCACATAGGCAAAGTTTTATTTTAGAAGACAGAGATACAAAGCGCTCAGCATAGATACTGAGAGGGGGCAAAGAGCCCCCAAGGGTGGGAATAACAGCAGCTTGTATCTTTGTTAGAATTGATCTGTTTGTTTCTGGTTGGCTTGGGGCCTGATGCATGTAATTTCTGACCAGTTTTTTGCAACGTCCAGTTTATCATTTTTATGGCTTTCTTTTGGTTCCCAGTTTCTCAGTTTCCCCCACATTGTGGTGCCATCCCTTGACCCTTTCTCAAGACCCCAGGCCATTATTTAGGGACCAGATGAATGTTTAAGAGTTAATGGTCCACCCGGAGTTCTTCTCCTTGATAAACTGGGCAGCAGTTAATGATTGTTTTGTTCTGGGTCTGAATGTTTCATGACCCTCCAGACCAGGGAGGGATTCCTCTGAATGCCTTGAAACTGGAACAACAAATATAGCTTTGGGCTAATGGAGCAAACGTTTATGTGAGAGAACGAGTTGAAATTAGGAAAAGAACCAAGGCCCTCCACCCTACACTGACCACCTAACAATTCTGCCTCAGTAGGTTAGTCAAGGTAGGGAAAATAGGAAAGGGGGTTAAGAGCCCCCAGAAGTCTGGGGAGGAGTCATTTCAGCATGAGCAGTGGGCTCTGGTCCTCAGACAGGCTGTGAGCAGACAGCTCCCTCCTCTTCTGATGGATCCTCCTGTGGCTGTTGTCTAGGACAGCTCTTAGCAGGAGGAGTTGGGTCCCCGGTAAAGAGCCTTCAGTCACTTGTCTCAGCGGGCTTATTTTTATTTTTGAGCCACGAATCATGTAGGATCTCAGTTCCCTAAACAGGGATTGAACCCGAGCTCCCTGCATTGGGAGAGGAGAGTCTTAACCGCTGGACCACTAGGGAAGTCCCTCAGTGGGCTATTTTAAGGAGTCTGCCAGTGGGGTGTCATGGTTACACCCCATGGGGTTTTGTCTCCATCAGTTACTCCTTCTGTTTCAGCGAAGCCCTTCCATAGATACTGCCCAGCAGTTTGCTTATTTAAAGCAACACTTGGGACTTCTCTGGTGGTTCAATGGCTAAGGCTCTGTGACCCAGGGCATGGGGCTTGGGCTCGATTCCTGGTCAGGGAACTAGATCCCACAGACCGCAACTAAAAAAATTCTGCACCCCACAGCTAAGACTTGGTGCAGCCAAATAGATAAATAGATAATTAAGAAAAATAAAGCAACACTCAATTTATCCCTCTAAGGCATTTGCAGATCTATACTGGACATTTCAAAACAATTAACACTGAAGTTGACACTGGCGATTGTGACTCCACTTTGAACTACCTAACAAAGCTTAAATCCTATGAGTTTCACATAAGGTGAGTAGGAATCATAGCACAAAAGAATTCACACCACATCTTGGGGCCTTGGGGAGGTGATTAGTTCAGGAAGGTAAAGCCCTCACGAAGGGGAATGCTGTCTCACAAAAGAGACCTCAGAGAGCTCCCCTTCCCCTTCTGTCCTGTGAGGACACAGAGAGAAGGCAGGCAGGCTGGCTGGCTGAGAACCAGGAAGCAGGCTCTCACCAGACACCTAATCTGCTGGTGTCTTGATCTTGGACTTCCAGGTTCCAGAACTGTGAAGAATGCGCATGCATACTTGGTTGCTTCAGTCGTGTCCGACTCTTTGCGACCCCATGGACTGTAGCCCACCAGGCTCCTCTGTCCATGGGATTCTCCAGGCAAGAATACTGGAGTGGGTTGCTGTTTCCTCCTCCAGGGGATCTTCCCGACCCAGGGACTGAACTCACATCTCCAGCAGGTGGAATTTTTTTTTTAACTATTGAGAAGACAGTAACTTCCTGTTATTTATAAGGCACCCAGTCTGTGGTGGGCTTCCCTGATAGCTCAGTTGGTGAAGAATCTGCCTGCCTGCAATGCAGGAGACCCCAGTTCATTCCTAGGTCGGGAAGATTCGCTGGAGAAGGAATACGCTACCCCCTCCAGTATTCCTGGGCTTCCCTGATGGCTCAGCTGGTAAAGAATCTGCCTGCAATGTGGAAGACTTGGGTTCGATCCCTGGGTTGGGAAGATCCCCTAGAGAAGGGAAAGGCTACGCACTCCAGTATTCTGGCCTGGAGAATTCCATGGTCCGTATAGCCCATGGGGTCGCAAAGAGTTGGACACGACTGAGCGACTTTTTTCACTCTCAGTCTGTAGCAGTCTGTTATAGCAGACTGAACGAACACATCCTGAGTAAGAATAAATGCTGCCTCAAGACTGCAACACCAACATCTGCCCAAGAGAAACTTCCCTGGTGGTCCAGTGGTTAAGAATCTACCTGCCGGTGCAAATGCCATGGGTTCGATCCCTGGTCTGGGAGGCTCCCACATGACTCAGAACAACGAAGCCTGTGGATGACAATTACTAAAGCTTGCATGCCCTTTAAAGCCTGTGCTCCACAACTAGAGAAGCCGCTGTGAAAAGAAGCCCGTGAATCACAGCTCAAGAGTAGACCCTGCTCGCTGCAACTAGAGAAAGCCCTTGGGCAGAAACAAAGATTTAGTGCAGTCAAAAATAAAATAAACTCATTAAAATTAAAAAAACAAAACAAAAAACTTCTGTTAAAGAGTTTCCAGCCTGCCCGCTTCCCCTACAAATTTCAGATTTTATAGCTACCACCATCATGTGAGCCAATCCCTCAATTCCTTGAAACCCGTTCTCTCCCTCCCCACCCTCTCTCTGCAAGTTGTCTATATACATATGGAAAGCTTCCTACTGGTTATGCTTCTCTGGAGAACCCTGACAAATCAGGCAGTAAGGGGGCAGGTAAGAAGACTGGACCACAGATGGCCTTGTTGGTCATAGAAAGGACTTTAGATTTATGTTTCAGATGAGAAGCTAATGAAAGATTTACAGCTGAAGCATGACAGGATCTCATATTTTAAAGAATCATCTGGCTACTGTGTTGGGACTAGCAGAAAGGGGAACAAGAGGTGATGGTGACTTGGGTTAGGGGGCAGCAGTGGTGGGGGGTGGTGCTTCCCCGGAGACTCAGTGGTAAAGAGTCCGCCTGCAATGCAGGAGACTTGGGTTTGATTCCCTGGGTCAGGAAGGTCTCCTGGAGGAGGAAATGGCAACTCATGTCAGTATTCTTGCCTGGAAAATCCCATAAGGTATCAAAGAGTCAGACACGACTGAACACGTATGCAAATTAGCAGCAGGGATGCTAAGAGGTGACAGAATTCTGGATGTGTTTTCAAGGTAGAGCAAATAATAGTTCTTTTTTTTTTTTAGCTTTTGAGTATTTATTGCTCAGATGGGTTCAAAAAATTCTTAAACATAATGTGGCAATGGCTTTCATATATTTGTAACAGAATATCACTAATAAAAATTTATTGGCATGAAATACTCTAATTATGGATGTGTAAAATCTTTAAATCTTAAAGCCTCAACATAATCATGTATATCTATGTACAAAACATACATAAACTTCACTTTATTTAAAACATATGAAAGAGGGAATTTCAAATCACATTAAACATAATAAATATAGAACTTGCTTTGTTAAAAATCTACAGTATACATTCAAGGAAAGGCTAAACTTCCAATGCCAACTATGTATGAGACAAAATTAAACATTTACAATAATCAGTTTCCTAAAAGTGCTATTTTTAATACCTATAATAGGAAACTCATTCTAGTGCTTTGTTTCCACCCAAACGTGTATACATTCCTTTATTCACAGAACCAGATGCTTCTGTTACTAAAAATACATATCCAAAGTTTTTATATCCTTTTAAATAGATTTAACATTTTAGCTCTTTGGGGGAGGAACAGGGAAGTCCAAACAAACAACACAGACGATCTTAAATTATTAAGAGATCACTGACTTTATAACGTGTCCTGTTTCAACTCAGATGTAAAATCTGATGACCATGTTAATGAAAAAAAAAACTCCCTGTTCATATATCTAAGGTAAATCATCCTTCTCTACATGAGAATTTGTGTAGGTCGAGGAGCATCCACTATAGCAAACTTCCTGTGACCCAGGCCTTGACGACATGCTCCACTTCTGATGTGCACATTCTCTTGCAACCTGATTTGGCTTAGTTTCTTCAGGGGTGATATTCAGTACATTGATTGAACTATGTTCAGATGCACAAGAACGTGTCTGGCAAAAGTCTGAAGTAGAAGGAGAAGCAGGAAGAGACTTAGTCAGTTTAGACGTGCAAATTGGAGACCCGCTAGGCACACCATGAGGCTTCTTTTGCCGTGACCTCGAGTGTAATGTAGGGGTGTCCCGATCAGAACTTCCTGAGAAGGCACTGAAAAGTTTCACATTTTCTGAGTTCTGGTGGTCAAAGGTAGTCATATTTAAAAACTGTTGCTTTAACCAACTGGCTCTTTCTTCTTCAAATGCCTTTCTCTCCAATCCTAGGCGAATAGCTGCTTCTGTAAAGCTTCGTCTTTCCTTCTCAAAATTCTTTTTCTGCTCTTTAAATAGGGACCATTCTTCTTTGAGGCGCTCCTTTTCTTCCAACAAGTAACAGTCTCGTAGCAGTGAAGTGGTGTCATCATCACATGCAGTAGTGAGCTGCTGCTGTAAAAGTTGCTGCTGCGTTTTAATCATCTCCTTACACTGCTGAATTTCTAACTCGAGTTTTTCAGTTTCCTGTTCATGGTCTTGTCGTGAGATTACATCTTCATCGTTAAAACCTTCTAAGTGTACCTTTGAAACTTGGTTATCAAGTTTTTCCACGTGACTTTTCAAAATTCTCCACTGTTTCCTGATGCTGTTGGTAAGCTGCTCTCTCACAGTCTCACGGGAAAGGTCCCATATACTCTCTCTACTCAGCTCCCCAGCATCCTCTTCAACATCAGAGATAACAGTTCCTGTACTATCATCTGCTCTTTCTCTAGGTTTCTGCTTTGGGGGAGAAAGAAGAGAAATCATTTCCTTTTTCATTTGCTGAAGAACCTTCTTAAGTTCAGCATTTTCCGTTAGGATTTGTTTCTGACGATATTCATAATCATTCAAGAGAATTTTATACATTTCATCTTCGTTCCTGGCTTCAGTTTTACCCGTCCTCCAGGAGCCTCTTTTCCCATCAACTCTCCCCACGTAATTTAAAACTTCCATAGCAATTTTTTTATCCTTCTTGTTCATAACAAGTTGATGTAAACGTTCCTTTAGTTTGTTATATTCACGCTCTTTTCTCTTCATATCATGATTATATTGAGTAGCTCGACTTGCAATGATATTTTGTAATTTCTGCACCTCATCTTTCTCATTTTTCAGTAGCTGATGCAAATTCCTATTCTTGCATTGTAATTGTCTGTCTCTTTCCTGAAGACCAATCATTTTTCTCCTGGAGGTTTCCAGTTGTTCCTTAGGTTTTGCATAGCAGTTCTGTAGATGGTCCATATCGCTTCCCAGTTTCAGATTCTGTGTTTCCACATTTTCCTGAGCTAGAAGGTTCTTCCGCTGAAGTACAAGTAGCTCATTCATGCAATTTAAAACAGCAACTATATTTAATTCTCTCTTTGTCTCTTTACCTTTGGATTCTGATCAAGATATGAGATACTTTGCTCAATATTCTCTTCTGTGCAGAAGGCACTAAAATAACTGTGCACATTTTTTGATAAAGGTATTGAAGAACATAGCACTTGCTGTGAGTATAAACTTGATGGAGACATCTTTGTTTCTGAGGTATATTGAGAGATAGTTTTGCTTTCTGGATCTGTAACAGTCATCCAATCTCCCATAGCAATCACCAGAGCCAGGATAGCTGAGGAACCAATTCAGCAGTGACACATTCAGCCCAGCTGCTGTCAGTCTTCCATGTAGGCATTTCCTTCCCAGCCCCCGGCTGTGGCGGGGAAGCACCGCTCGGAGTCCCGCCCAGCTCGCGCAGCCCCGAGGGCCTGCACCGGCGCGGCTGCACGCTGAGCCCGGGCCGACGGCCCCGCCTCCACCTACGGCTCCCGCCTTCCCCGCCCCCCAATAGTTCTTTTCTAATGGATGTCAAGGATGATGCAAATCTTTTTGGCCTGAGTAACTGGATTAACGAGTAATGGGGTTTGGAGCAGGTTTGGGGTCATGTGAAAAGTTCACTGTAATGCTACCTTGAAACGCTTATTGGCCATACAGGCAGAGATATCAAGAAGGTATTTGGATGTCTTTTTGGTGTTCAGAGGGAAGATTCAGGCTGGAAATATACATGTGGGAATGGTGATATTGAATGTGAGTTCTGGGGATAAGAATTTGAGAGAGATAAAAGTGAGGGAAAGAAAGGAGGCAGTAATAGCACCAGGTTTTGGGCTTGGACACTTGTTAAAAGTGTCATTCTTTGTTAGGGATCACAGACTGTTGAGAGGAGGCTAGGTTTTGCATGTGTTGAATTTTAAAGATCTGTTTAACTGGAACTGGAGATAATCTAGGAAACTATGTTATCTAAGTCAATCCTTTTATAGATGAAGAAACCAAGGTTCCAGAATAGCTAGCTTGAATTAGAAGGACCAAGTGCTCTTTTTCTAATAGTAGAGTGCCTGTAATTACAGGGATGCCTATAAAAGGTACATCTCTCCAATTCTGAAGTTGACCTTGTCATCCCTAGACAAAAAAAAAAAAAACCAAAAACGAAGAAAGAAAAAGAAAAAAAAATTTGGTCAAATTGGCTCTCAGATCACGTAGAAATTCCTATCTATTTGGGAGAAGGATTTGATTCCAATGTAGACTGGGCTTTTCAGGCAAAGCTAGTGGTAAAGAACCTGGCTGCCAATGAAGAACATGGAAGAGATGTGGATTTGATCCCTGGGTTGGGAAGATCCCCTGGAGGAGGGCATGGCAACCCACTCCAGTGTTCTTGCCTAGAAAATTCCAGACAGAGGAGCCTGGAAGGCTACTGTTCATGGGGTTGTACAATGTCAGACATGACTTAGCAAGCATGCACATGCAAATCTATCACCCAGTCTGACAGAGGAAGCTCTTAATTGCTCCCCTTCCCTAAGTAAGAGACTTATTAGCCATTTACTCATCAGCCAAATTGATGTTGAAGAGGTCCTGAGGGTCAATCTCGACCCTTTTCCTTTGGCCTGATTCCCTACTATTTCCAATCCTCATTTTCATTAAGAAGTGTAGATTTCTGGCAAGTGAGAATGGTAGTACGGGGTGGGGGCAAGGCTTTGGGGGGAAGTGAAAAAGAGTGCTTATGAAGTAAGCATGGGAATATTCTCAAAGGGAATAGGAGAGAGGCTGGTGAGTCCCAGCTGTCCCATGGCAGGGCCCAGCATGACAGCAAGAGCTCAGAGAAAGGTGTCCAGGGAGGAGAGTTCCGTGGCACAGTCAGGATTTCTGCACTCTGCAAAGGAGAGAGCTGTCAGTCATCAAGGTCCTAGTTACAACCACAGGGTACCATGACAGTTGACAATTAGGAGTCTTTCCCTTTCATCTCAAAACAAAGTAAGCCTTTTGGATTTTGGCATGACCCTTACAAGTAGCCTGGTTGATGGCCGAAACAGATTTTCCCATTAAACTGTTGAGTAGATTCAGAGTTAGGGCTGATGCTTTTTAGTAGCTTCAGTCATATCCGTCTCTGTGATCCCATGGACTGTTGCCCATCAGACTCCTCTGTCTGTGGGATTTCTCAGGCAAGAATACTGGAGTGGGTTACAATTAGTTAGTGGAGAAGGAAATGGCAACCCACTCCAACTTTCCTTCTCCAGGGGATCTTCTTGACCCAGGGATCAAACCTGCATCTCTTACATCTCCTGCATTGGCAGGCGGGTTCCTTACCACCAAGCCACCAGGGAGGCCATCAGAGTTAGGACTAACTTCATTCAAATAACAGAGGAAAGTCTTCAGACTTAAGAGTCACAGCAGGAATTGCCTGATGTTGGTGAACCGAAGCAAGCTTTTAAAATAAAAATACGCAGGGAACAACATTCAGAACCCCTGCTGCATTCCTTCACCTTCCAGCCTCTGAGGTTCTTCTGGGAACCTCCTCACTACTGCCTATGACACAGGATTGTTGGGAGATTAAATGGCAAAGTGCGCCTAGGATGTGGCTAGCATTCAATAAAAGGGACTGATTACCATTCTGTCAGCATAATATCCAAGAAGTACCTCGCAGAAGAGACAAGTAGTATTTATTTCTCACAATGGTCAATGCCAAAATTCATCCAAGGGTTTTGTGTTAAAAGCCAAAGCATGTTTATTATGAAAGTGGAAACTTAGTACATTTTGGGCCTCAGTTCTTTTACTGAAACTTCAGTAAAGGCTTTCTCCTAGTCTGCTGAAAATTGCTGCTTGGCAACCTGGAACAAGTAATCAAAAGAATAAATAATCAATTTCAAAATGAGTTAGATGACTATAACAGACTCTCCACCTTCTAGTGTCTTTCTCTGTTAACATGATAGGATCTCATTCAAATATAATGATGTTTTTGTAAAGCAGGTATTTTTGATTCAGATATGTATTTATATCAATTAAACATAGAATATAGTTTGACAGTAATTGTGTTTTGATTCTCTGTATTCAAAGAAGTTGGTTGATGAGAAAGAGGGAGAAATTTATTGTAGAAATGATACCTCAGTTGAAATTTCCTTATATGTTATAGAACCTATAGTATGTGTGTGTTAGTGGAGAAGGAAATGGCAACCCATTCCAACTTTCCTTAAACAAATTCCCAGATACTAAGAGGAAAAAAATAAATAAAAGACTGTGATTACATAATCCATTTTCCTTTCATTTGATGGTTAAGCTGTGTTCTGCTCAAAATAAAAAGACAGAAACAACAAAAGCTGAGTTCCTTTATTACTGCCGCCACTTATGGATACATTTTCCCAATTCTTTGTCTCAAATCCCAATGATGCTTTTATATTTGCAACACACATTTATCTCCATTTTCCCTGCACTGAAATGTCTGACATGGGAATATGAGGTATTTCTTAGAAAACAGAGTAGTAAGGTGTAGGATAAAATGTTTGGGCAGTATTTCTTACATCACATGAAATTCATTTGAAATGCCACTAGATACAGTTCTTCATTACATTTAGCAAGCTTGAAATTTCTGTTTCTTATGTAGAATAGAAAAGGAATGTGAATTATATAAAAGTTGAATGTAATTAAAAATAAAAATATACATTAAATATTCACATTATGTACCTTGCAAAGCCTTCAATGAGTCACAAAATCTTAGAAATTATTATAAAACTGTATCTCTTTTTCTCCAATTCCCCACAAAGTCAGTTCCTAATATATTTCTGTGTATTACATGAAATTAGGACCTGCCAGAGCCTCAAAAGGTGATATGAAGAAAAAAAAGTCAATTAGGAAAAGCAGATACTTTTAAAAACATTAAAATTCTGACTAATATTAGATGAAATCAACCTGAACCTGGTAAATCAGTTTTTAAGAAACTTAAGCACTTATTTTCCTTTCATTTTATATCCAATAACTGCATCAAACCTAATATCAATCTTTCGTCTTAAAATTGCCTCGAAACGCTCAGGAAGCATCCTAAAAGAAAGATACATAAAAATAATTAGGAAATTAATATTAAGTACATTTGTAAAATATCTTTAAGAATACTTATATTAAAAAAAACAGAATACTTATATTTATCATATATCATGCCCATGTTAAATAAGATGAAGAACGTTAACTCTGGGTCACTATTATGTGTTCTTTCCAAAGAAATACAATTCCTCTTGAAAAGGAAGAGAAGAGGTTTAGGCCTCTTTAGGGTAAGAGTGACTTGAAAGATTTAGCCTTCAAAATAAATATACTGGAATATTTTTAAAAATATCTAAAAGACAAGGTATATAGAACTGAATAGTTCAGATGCTAAAGGCTCTTAAAAAAAGAAACCTGACATTGGAAAGGAAGTAAGAATAGGAACTAATTTTATACTTTGTAATTCAGAAACTATTAAAATGTTCCACTAAGATATCAAAGAAGCAGAATTGCTAAAAGAAAATGCAGACAATGTACTTAGTTTTGAACATAGTATTGAACAAGTTATTTAACCAAAAAGCTTAAATTCCTTCTATATAAACAAAAGAATTAGCACCTATGCCATAGTGTTCTTGTAAAGAATTGATGTGTTAACATAAAATGCTGGCTCATGTTGGTGTATGGCAGAAACCAACACAATACTGTCAAGCAATTATCCACCAATTAAAAATAAATAAATTAAAAAAAATATATAACAATTTTAAACAGTGATGGACACATGGTAGGTTTAATTTTTTTTCTCCCTACCCTACATTTAAGAATGTAGGATAGGAACTTGTCATATTCCAACGAGTCTGAGAGAAACTAAACAGAATATGTAAGTCAGTGCAACTATATACAGACATCTGCTTAGATGGAATTAAAATAAGGTTTGAAAATTGAGCACCAAACATTCACAGTCAGAAGAAAATCAGGGCAATATTAATAGCTGTGATAATTACAATGATAGTAGCATCAATATACAAATATGTATTTTTATCATATACTAGATATTTTAAATGCATTATTCTGTATTCCTCACAGCCCTGCAAAGTCTTGTTGTCTCCACATGACAGATGAAGAAACGGAGCTTCAAAAAAGTTAGCTAACTCATCCATGTTCATGCAGTGAGCAAGTTATAAACACAAAGCTTCATCTAACTCTAGAACACAAACTGTGAATCTCTATGCTAAAGGTCTAGGTAATCTTTATTTATTTAATCAATAAACAGACAGTTTGGTGCCTCCTATGTGACAACCTGTCTTGTTAATTCTGGTGGCTCAGTGGTCAAGAATCCGTCTGCCAATGCAGGAGACACCGGAGACTTGAGATCGATCTCTGGGCTGGGAAGATCCTCGGAGTAGGAAATGGCAACCCACTCCAGTATTCTTGCCTGGGAAATTCCATGGACAGAGGAGCCTGGAGGGCTATAGTCCATGGTCTTAAAAGAGTCAGACACGACTTAGTGGTTAAACAACAGCAAACGTGTCCATTAACTCTTCAAAGTGTGAGGATACAGTGATTAAAACCAGGCAAAATTCCTTCTCTCAGAGTTACATTTTAAAGGACTGATCACTGAGCGCTTACATAATACAAGTGTAATGAGAGACATTTCACAGGTTTTAACTCATTTATTTATCAAGAAGACCCTTGAGCTTTACTACCTAAACTTTAAGGTAGCTTCAACCATAGTTCCTAGCAGAAGGGGCTAAAAAACCTGACACAAGCCACTTGTGCTTTTGATCTCGTGGATTTTTTTTTTTTTTTGACTCTATGTCAGTAACTCTCAGTGTATGATCTTTGAACCAAATGCCTGCAACAACTGCCTGTTGAAATAAGAGATTTCTGGATCCCAACTCAAACATCTTATATTAAAATCTCTAGAGGTAAGATCCAGGTATCTATTTTTGAAACTAACTTCCCAAGTGATCTATGTCATGGAAGCCTGACTCTAGGGACAAGCAGCAAGAGAGTTCTTTTCCCCCTCTGACCTAAGTCATGTCTTCACTTTGCCCTTAACCAGCCTCATCACACACAGCCTTCCCAGAAAAGTAACAGGGCAGTGTGTTACAAGACATTCTTTAAACCAGCAGTTTCCAATCTTGGCTGTACATTGGCTGTACAATTGTACACTGTACATTGTACAGTCTCTGGAAGGTTGTATCTCTCAGAGACCAGGCCACACTACAGACCATTTAGATCAAAATCTTGGGAGCAGGTGTCAGGTGTTGGCATTTTTTAAAACTCCCAGGTGAATTCCAATGGCACCAAAGTTGAAAGCTACTGCTCCAAAGAAATGCTTCTCACATTTGAATATGCATACAGATCACCTGTGGGTCTTACTAAAATGCAAATTCTGATTCAGGGAATCAAGAGATTCTGTGTTGTACACAAACTTCCAGGTGATGCTGAGGCTACTGGTCCATGGGCCAAATCTGAAGTAGCAAGTCTCAAGGGTCTCTAAAATTATAAAAGATAATTCAGCAATTCCTTCAGTATAAAAGATTATTTAGCAATATGCTTCAGTATAATTTTGCACAAAGTAAGAGCTCAGTGATTATCTGTGGTATATTTAAAATAAATGTCTAAAACTTGACTATGATCTCCTCCAATATCAATGTCACATAATTCCATTATGTAATAATGCTTAAAAATTACTCTCCTTCATATGCATTCATTTACGATAGGACTTCCAAAAACATACAAACTTCTTTCCTTAAAAAAACATTTTAAAAAAACTTACAGAAATTAGTTACCTAATTGCTATTTCAATCTTGAAAGTGAAAGTCGCTCAGTCACGTCCAACTCTTTGTGACCCCATGAATATGCAGTCTGTGGAATTCTCCAGGCCAGAATACTGGAGTGGGTAGCCTTTCCCTTCTCCAGGGGATCTTCCCAACCCAGGGATCGAACCCAGGTCTCCCCCATTACAAGTGGATTCTTTACCATCTGAGCCACAAGGGAAGCCTAAGAATGCTGGAGTGGGCAGCCTATCCCTTCTCCAGCGGATCTTCCTGACCCAGGAATCGAACCAGGGTCTCCTGCATTGCAGGTGGATTCTTTACCAACTGAGCTATCAGGGAAGCTCATACCAATCTTGCTTGAATGATTAACAAATGTGGTTTTAAAAATGGATGGCTTCCTTAAGCCCATTGTCTTTATTAACTTAATTCCATGTAATTGTGCTTTATCAAATGCCTGGCTTTAAATCTGAGTAAAAACATGTAATAGAAAAATTTATCACGGGGACAAATATCACTGTCACTTACTTTTCCATTAGTGATAAAAGGCTGAGAGAAGATGGAACAAATATCATTTTCTGCTCAGTCAGGATCCCATCTATCAGCTTGTTTACCACTTCCTCAGGTTCCAGGGTAGGTCCCAAACTGAAACAGAAGTAGTCTTCAGAACCAAAACATTTCACTGAGGCTTCAGCTTTGGTTTGGTGTTAAACGAGCAGGTGAAGTTACCATACAAACCATTACATAACCGACTGATAGTTAGCATCCAGCCCAACACAGGTGCTCAAAAATGCTATTTTGGCAATAATAACAACAAAAACAAAACCACTTATTTAGTGCTTATAGGGAATAGCAATTAGCCAAGATGGCAATGGCCAGTCTCTCTTGCTCCCCGCCCACCCCCATCCCTGTCCTCTTGCTCACGCCCCACATCCTGTAAACAACGACTCTGCGTGGCTATGGAACAGCTGAGATTATTTATAGCAATGCACACACACATCATGATGTACTCACTTGGTCACATGCCACCATTGTTCCGTATACCTATATAAGCACCATCTGAACAGCCCTTGCGGCTGCATCAGCCATTAGCGAATAAGCATGCCTGTCTTGCTGCTGCGTCGGCCGTTAGTGAATAAAGCATGTCTGCAGTTCCTAAGGTTCCTCGCATCTTCTTCCAGCTTCCTAGCTCACACCTTGCCTACCCTGGCTTCAGTGAAGAGGGAGACAGTGGTTATGAGGTTCTGCATAGTATGTTAAAGATTCTACACAGATCATCTCACTAAAGTTTTCCAGCAACTCTACAAAGGGGAGATACTAGAGTCCTTATTCTGCAAATAAGCACTGTAGGAATAACTAGGACTCAAATTAATTTAACTAGATTAGGACTGACAAATATCATTTTTAAATTTCTAGAAGTCTTAGGAAAAAAGTCAGATTCCATAATATGTTTCATTATTCTATAAGACAGTTTAGTGAACCATTTCTGAAGAATTAGAAAAATTAAAATATAGGACTATGCCCAGCTCTAAGTCCTTGATTTCCATATGGAATCTTTATATTTACTAAGTCTTGTTTTAAGTTTCAGCTTTGTTACTTAGTTCATGTTACATCTTTACTGTGTAATCATCCTGGCATATGTACTACCGAGTAGCATGTAGTCCCTAAAAAGTGACCTTCGTTATCTGGATGTTAAAATAGGTGCACTTAGGCTGGAGTTGCACCAGAGTTGGCCATGAGTTTTTAACATCTTATTAATGACTTAGAAAAAAAATGCATAATCAAATTTACTCACTAAATTGGCTAATGTCATCAAACTGGATGACTAACATTTGGGGGGACAGATTTTAAATGTGTGTGACTAGTTAAGTGGGACAAAGTTAAACAAATTGAATGAGATTCTTTAGGAACAAATACAGAATAGTTCATTCAGAAAGAAGAATATGCACTAAAGTAAGACTGGGAAACTGGAAAGTGTAGCATGTACTTAAAAGTGAACATGAGGGGACTTCCCTGATGGTCCAGTGGTTAAGAATCCACCTTCCGATGCAGGGGACGTGAGTTCAATCCCTGGTAGGGGTGTTAAGATCTCAAAAGCCTCTGAGTAACCCAGCCAGCACACCACAATCAGACTGCCAAGCTTTATGGCCAGTGCTCTGCAACAAGAGAAGCCCTCACACAGCGACAAAGACCCAGCACAGCCAAAAAAGAAAGTGAGCATGATAACTGGATACATGAAGGAAAACAGAATTTAAATCACACGTGATATAATTTCTCATTCTCAGCATTGTGTTGTTGTTTAGTCGCTCAGTCGTGTCCAGACTCTTGTAACCCCATGGACTGTAGCCTGCCGGGCTCCTCTATACCTGCGATTTCCCAGGCAAGAATACTGGAGTGGGTTGCCATTTCCTTCTCCAGGGGACCTTCCCAACCCAGGAATGGAACTCATGTCTCCTGCACTGGCAGATGGATTCTTTACCACTGAGCCACCAGGAAGTTCATTCTCAGAATAGGACATTTATTAGAATCCTGGGTTTACCCCAGGACCCTGGTGCAACAATATCACATATGAAATGCAGAGGAAATGTAATAATGAAAGTGATGGATTTTGGCCCAATAGAGGCACCAATGAAAAGCAATGAGAACTTAAAGAAGACGAAGCAGTCTTTAGCCTGTGGGATTAGCAGATAAATGGTGCCAAGCAGGGTGATTCTAGAAACTGAAGGATGTTTATGCTTTGAAAAGTGTTCAGAGGGAAATTCAAGCATATTGCTACCAGGATTCCATATTCCCAAGCTCCATCAAATTCCACAAACACCTATGTAAACAGTACAGCACATGTCTTCATTCACACTGTGGCCTTGCTAACCTACCAATCAAGTGATGTTGGACTGACTGAGCCTCTCTTAGTTACTTGATCTCTTTACCTAAGGTCTTAGCCTCTGCCAGAATTTTCATTGAATTTAAAGACTGTCTAATAGCATGATATTAAAAGACTGTAAGAAAAGCCTTCCAGAAAAAATTCAGTTTCTTGGCAAAATAAAACCTAAATCATTAAAATGTCAGCATATGGAAATACCTTTTCCTCAATAGTCTAATGTTAACAAGAGTTGCAAATCCTAATGGATTTTCTTGAAACTATTCAAAAACACTTCAGGCCTATCTGCTGGGGTGGAGAAGAAGAATGCATGTGGGATCTTAAGAATACTTAGGGAGAAAGTATTTTCAGGTAGAAGAATTACCTGAGTGGTTATCTAATTTCACCACTTAGGTAGCTGAATCATTTGGGGGATGACATCTCTACTCTCCAAAATTTTTTGGTTTTGTACTTAATTGGAAAAAAGGAGATAATGCAGTGGTACCAACTGACTCTCCAAGGGACAGATTATCAGTTTTGTAGCATTTTCATATTCTATGATATGAATACTTCCAACATAGCCAATTTCAAATTACCAGCATGGTGTCACCAAAGGAATATAAGTTGTCTTCAGCACTCCACGGGTAATATGATGGTTAAATGGAAAATGTACATATAAATACTTATAGAGTTATACCATACAAATGTTACTTGTCACCTTCTTATGTAACAACTTTTTTATGGTACTGCTGCTGCTGCTGCTGCATCGCTTCAGTCGTGTCCGACTCGGTGCAACCCCATAGACGGCAGCCTACTAGGCTCCTCTGTCCCTGGGATTCTCCAGGCAAGAATACTGGAGTGGTTGCCATTTCCTTCTCAATGCAGGAAAGTGAAAAGTGAAACTGAAGTCGCTCAGTTGTGTCCGACTCTTTGCAACCCCATGGACTGTAGCCTACCAGGCTCCTCCACCCATGGGAGTTTCCAGGCAAGAGTACTGGAGTGGGGTGCCATTGCCTTCTCCTTTTATGGTACTAGCCAATGAAAAACTAATTATTTTTCTGTGTGTGCTAAGTCGCTTTAGTAGTTTCTGACTCTTTCCAACCCTATGGACCGTAGCCTGCTAGGTTCCTCTGGCCATGGGATTCTCCAGGCAAGAATACTGGAATGGGTTGCCATTCCCTCCTGCAGGGGATCTTCCTAACCTAGGGATTGAACCTGAGTCTCTTATGTCTCCTGCATTGGCAGGCAGGTTCTTTACCACTAGTGCCACCTGGGAAGCCCAATCTTTCTGTGGAACCCACAAAAGCTAAATTTTTAGAGGAAACAAATTTTGTTATGTATATTACACATAGGAGAGTAGACATTTCAAAACAATGTCTAAACATTTTAAAACATTTTAAAATTCTTGACAAATAAATCCAGATTATGTGGCATTTTTTATATCACTAATGGAAAAGAAAAAGATATTTAAGGCAAATGCATTTAATTTAAAAGTGTTCATATACCTAATAATAGTGCCCCAAAATATACGAAGCAAAAGTGACATAATTGAAGAGAGATATGGACAGTTTAAAGATAAGAGCTGGAGACATTAATCCGACTTTCAACAATGGTTTGAACAACTGGACAGAAGATCAGCAAGTTGGGACTCCGTGCTTCCACTGCCAGAGGCCTAGGTTCGATCCCTGGTCAAGGAACTATGATCTTACAAGCCATGGGGTGCAGCCAAAAATTAAAAAAAAAAAAAAATCTCAAATCAATAACCTAACTTCCCAACTGAAGAATCCAAAAAAAAGAACTGACTCTAAAGAAGGCAAAATAAAGGAAATAATAAAGATTAAAGCAGACATAATGAGAGAACAGATAACAATAGAGTCAATAAAACCGAAAGCTGGCTCTTTGGAAAAGATCAACAAGACTGACAAAACTTTTGCTGACCAAGAAAAAAAGAGATTAGACAAACCACTGAAATCAAGAATAAAACTGAGTTCATTACTAAGTTCACTACTACTAATCTTACAGAAATGAAAGGGACTATGAAAATATGATGAATAACTATATGTCAAAGATTAGATAAGCTAGATTAAATGTACAAATTCCCAGGAACACACAAAGGACCAAAACTAACGCAAGAAGGAATAGAAAACCTGAGTAGCACTTTAACAAAAGATTCAACTAGTAACCAAAAAACTCCCAGCAAAGACCAGGACTAGAGGGCTTCATGATGAACTCTAACTGGAGTTTAAAGAATTAACATCAGTCCTTCTCAAAGTCTTTCCAAAGACAGAAGAGGAGAGAACTCTTCTCAACTCATTCTATGAGCCCAGAATAACCCTGTTACTAAAGCCAGAGAAAGATAACCCTAGAAAACTACTACCAATATCTCTTCTGAATACAGATGCAAATATACTCAACAAAATACCATCAAATCAAATATAGCAATAAGTTAATGTAATATGCCATATTAATAGAATGAAGGATAAGCCCACAAGATCATCTCAATGCACAGAATAAGCATTTAACAAAATCTAACACTTTCATGAAAAAAAAAATCACTCAACAACCCAGGAACATATGGGAACTTCCTTAACCTTATTTTTCTAAGCACTCGTACAAGGCAGTCTGATCTGTATAACCAGGGTGAAATAGAGAAGATAATAGGGAGTTATTAAACATGAAAAGATGACTGTGAGCCTTTCTAATAATCAAAAATATACTATCACATGGAAGCACTGTTTTTTCCTATCATAATGGCTAAGATTAAGAGTGCTGGATCATTGAAAAAGCA